TACTGCTGTGTAGCTGGTGGCTGGTCCTCACTAGTATTGATTACTAACCTCCTGGGACTTGTGTGTGTGTGTCTGTGTGTGTGTGTGTGTGTCTGTGTGTTTGTGTGTTATTGTGTTATTGTGTGTGTGTGTGTGTCATAGTAGTGGTATTGTGTGTGTGTGTGTCTGTGTGTGTGTGTGTGTGTGTGTGTGTGGTATGGTGGTGTGGTGTGTGTGTGTGTGTGTGTGTATTTGACCGTTAGAGAGTTAATTAAGCAGAATAACTCGTTCATTAAGAGTGAAATCGAACAGCGGGAGAGAACAATAACAGTGAACAACACACAATGAACACTCCTCAATAACACGACGAACACTAGAGAGATATTACAGCAGTATGAATAACACAGTTTCTCCTCTCTCTCTCTCTCTCTCTCTCTCTCTCTCTCTCTCTCTCTCTCTCTCTCTCTTCATCATCCAATAAAATCATCATCACCACCACACAACACTGTCTTCATCATAACACTATATCATCATCATCATCATCATATAAACACAACATACATTTTCCACTGCTTATCGACACATTGACCTTCGTATAACAGGCCAATAACAGCCAACGTGTAACGGGGCAATACCCAACCCATTACGTCACAATTACCTTCCCATTAACATGACAATTACATCACATAACGTCATTGATACTCAAAATATTATTATTATTATTATTATTATTATTATTATTATTATTATTATTATTATTGTTATTATTATTATTATATTATTATTGTTATTATTATTATTATATTATTATTGTTATTATTATTATTATTATTATTATTATTATTATTATTATTATTATTAAGATGAGCCCAGCTATATAATGAAAACACAATAATAACCAACATGGGGCTTTACCATTGCCACCTATCCACCACTATCACCTATACCACATCACCTTACCCACAACATACTACCACCATAGCCACCACACACACACACACTACCACCACCATGACCACCCACACACACACACACACACCACCACCACCACCACACACACACACACACACTACCACCACCAACCACACACACACACACACACACACCACCATGACCACCACACACACACACACACACACACACACACACACACACACACACACACACACACACACACACACCCCACCACATGACCACCACACACACACACATACACACACACACACACACACACACTCACACACACACTGACCCTTTCGACTCTCACTGACCATCACCACGGCCTCATCTGCAAATTTGGTAAAAAGCTTCTACACCATCCCCGACACCGGCCCCTACTACCACCTGAGATCCCCTGTCCGAGAATTGCTGTTCGACACCACAACCGCATCCAGCCCATACGTGCACGAACTGATCGCTATAAGAACAGCCCAGTCCCAACCATTGTAAAAATTATCAATAACATGTAATAAATCAGTGTATTCACTCCCAGTAAACACTGCTCCCTACACTGTCACTATGTTGAAATGAACTGTATTTTGAGCTGATCCCCATCTAAGTTACTATATGTCTTATTTGTGTCCCTTATGTCACTTGTATATTATTTGTAATTATGCCCATTCTGATATAGCAACTGCATATTTTCAGCTTCTGGCTGCCAAGCTCTCAATAAACAGAATTATTATTATTATTATTATTATTACACACACACACACACACACACACACACACACTACCACCACCATGACCTACACACACACACACACCCACCACATGACCCACCGCATAAGTTGGCTGATGATCCAACACTGCAACACGTGGACGGCGTTTCCCAGGAGCCTACAGTCATCCTCTTTCAAGACTCCAGCCAGCCGTGTACCTACCCTCCCTCACACCTTACCTTACGTCCCTCCTCCCCTCCTCCACCCCTCCCTCACACCTTACATATTCCTCCCTCACACCTGCCTTACACCTCCTCCCTCCTTACCTGACGCCCATCCATTTTACCTCACATAGTCTCTCCTTCACAAATACCCCTTTTGTCCTTCCTTCACAACCATCTATTGTTACATCCTCCTTCCCTCTCACCACTCACCCTCCCTCCTTCCCTCTCACCACTCCCCCAGGCCCCACTCTATCTCTGTAGGCCACGTTTATGCTGCTCGTCTGTGCTTAAGTGAATGACTCTAGTGGTGCAGGAGGGAGGGAGGGAGGGAGGGAGGGAGGGAGGGAAGGAAGGAAGGAAGGAGTAAGGGAGGGAGGAAGGCCAGAGACAGGTCACAAGAGGTGTGGATGGAGTGCCAATTAGTGTCTGCAGGTGTGGCACTGTATCATGACTGACTTACTGCCTGCCACCCACCCACCCACACCCATCTCTCAGGTTATACCAGGGCGGTGTCTTGAGTCCATCCCATAAGCCTTATTCATATCTACAGGGTGTCCCAAAATTTAGGACTCACAGGCAGAATAGTTCACCCAAAACCTTCATTTCACCAGAGGTTCCAAGATACCTGTCCTGACCTTACATACAGATATCAACCTGCTGTTTATATATAGAAAAATATAAAAGAAAAATATAACTATAACACTACTAAAAATAATAATAATAATAATAATAATAATAATAATAATAATAATAATAATAATAATAACAGTGATAACCAATCCACCCACCCACCTATCCATCTACCCACCCACCCACCTACGGCCCAGCAACAGAGAGAGACTAGCCTGGTGACATATACTTAATATAGCAGACTGTGAGGCGTGACGTCAGTAGGGAGGTCACAGGGAGGTCACACACACAGCAGAGAGGTCACAAGAAGAGTTTCACAATAATATCTACGCCCTGTTGGTCGCCATCTTGTGTCATGGCTTCAGTGAATAAGTTAAATAAGTTTTTAATTTGCATTTTTTTTTCTTCTTCAACAATGTAGCAACTTCTGAAAGTGTGGGTGGTGGCGGTGGGTGGTGGCGGTGGGTGGTGACGGTGGTGGGTGGTGACGGTGGGTGGTGACTGGCCATGGTAGGTGGTGATGATTGGCAGGCGACGATGGCCGAGTCAACACACACACACACACACACACACACACACACACACACACACGGTCAAGATCAAGGAGAAATATGAAGGTTATCGTACTTATAAAGTGACTCTATATGGCCTAAGAGATTCTTAGACGCAGACGTGTGTGTGTGTGTGTGTGTATGTATGTGTGTGTGTGTGTGTGTGTGTGTGGCCTCGATGTATGATTATGATTTGTAGGTATGTAAAGAAGACGAACACGAATGAGAAGAACAAGAACAAGAATAACACGAAGAAGAAGAAGAAGAAGAAGAAGAAGAAGAAGAAGAAGAAGAAGGTGGGAACTATTCGACACCGTGGCAGTCTTCAGCACGGGGAGGCTTTTGTGAGAGAGGTGTTCCCATCTCGATAGAACTCAGCCTCAACTTCCCGTGTGTGATATTGTTGACGGCTCCCTCCCTCTTCCCTTCCCACCTCCATCCCTTATCTTAAATCTTCCCTCCCTTCCTCCCTCCTACTCTTGCATCCTCCCTCCCTCCCTCCCTCCTACTCTCTTTTACCCATCCTCCCTCTTCCGCCTTTTCTTAATCTCTCCCTTTTCCCTCCTCTTTTAAAGCCCACCCTTCTCTTCTACTCTTCCTCCTTCTTTAAAATCATCCTTCTCCCTTCCTTCCGCCCCCCTCCCTCCCTTTCCGCCCCCCTTCCCCCCCCTACTCTCCCTCACCAAACTCCATAACTATCCCTCGGCCTTCACAACTTTTCAACGGGGATAAGATTACCAGCGATATGCCAGGCTCTACCTATCACCATCCCAGTTTACCTATCACCGTTCCAGAGAGGATGACAGATAGTGATGATTCGAGTCGGAATTCTCAGTTGTTAAATTTCTCTTATCTGTCACACACACACACACACACACACACACACACACACACACACACACACACACACACACACACACTTACGAAAAGTATTATTCTTAATATTTTCTTATTCACCAGAGCAATACAATATCAGGTGGTCGATGCCTCGTATACCTGTGGTCGTATTGTCAATAATAATAATAATAATAATAACTTCTTCATTAATAGGGTTTTCATTCATATAACTATTAAACTACATTTAATTGGGCCCTCACCACGCTAAATACACATACAGGGTGACACAAAAGTTTATACTTATATCTCGATGAACTGAGGGACACTTTTACCCTCCTGAGAGCATTAAAATCAACAGAGAGGAACTGAGAGGAACACACGGAGAATATTACGTGCAAGAACTGTGTCTGTATGTAAGTTTATGTCATGTAATTTAGATATGTGATGAAATAATGGCACTTGGTGAATTCCGCTTGTCGGTACTAACTTGTGGAGCACCCTGAATATGCCTAGATCCCCCTCCCTCCCTCCCTTCTCTCCCTTCCCTTCCTTCCACCTCTCCTTCTCTCCCTACAAACGTGAGACAATATGCCTAATCTCCCATCCTCCCTACCCTCCCTTCCATCTCCCTCTCTCCCTTCCATCTCCCTCTCTCCCTACAAACATGAGACAATATCTAAGTTTATGGTACAGTCTCAGAGCTATTTGTGCTGCCATCTTTGTGCCTTGGGTCTTGTTGGCCATTTACATGCGTTCTCATACACCCAGATAAAAAGAGTCCTGTATAACATTCCCAAACCACGATGCTCTTCAGACCCGTGTGGTGAAAGTGTCTTCTATAAAGTGTGGTATATTAGCAGTCCTCTTGCTTTTGGTTTTAGAATTATAATGTAAAGTCAAATATGGCGGTGATATGGTGTTGAGACTCTTACCTTAACTAGATACGTTATATTATCAGAATTAACTATGTCCTTTAACGAGCCACACTATATTACGGTCGACTAGCCACACTATCTTACGGTCAACTAGCCAGACCTCCCATAGCATCTCAAATTCTACCCTGACACTAAAACTCGATTCAAGGAACTACTCAAGGTGCTACTCAACACCCTCCTCACCTCCTCAGATCTCCGGGTAACATTGGATGCTTTTCATTCATTCTCACCTGTAACGTAAAGAAATAAAAGGTGTTAATTGATATGTTGTGTTGACAGGTAAGTGAAGGTATGATAAAACTATGAACAAATAATGAGGAAAAATATTACACACACACACACACACACACACACACACACACACACACATCATTAATACAGTCATGATCAATTATTTTCTCCCTTATTCTAAAACTTAAAAAAATGTTTCAACAAAATTTTCTCACCTGGACTAAAAAAAAAAAAGTCATTTACAAATTCATGAATACAAAAAAACACACGAGGAGAGAAGATGAAAAAGTCAGGGTGGAATTGGGTGCTCAGATCAACGCTACTGAAATCCTAATTGAAAATGTAAACTCAAACAACTCAAAGGCCTGACGAGTTGACCTGTGACCCGTTTTTCCCCCAATGACCTTTGACCTAACCTTGAACCAAAAACACCTCTCCTCCCCCAAACGTCCCCTTCCTTCCCCTCCACCCCACCCCCCAGGAGCTAATCTATGAGACCGAATAGTATTGCCTTCATCAAGCTGGTGCAAGCTTATGGAGTGACACTTTGATCTACAAGCTGGGACGAGTGTTTGATCTTGGCGAGTCTGAAGGAAATTATGGAGTCAAAGTAAATATATATTTTTTTCTGATAAGAGATTTAGAATGTTTTAGGATGGATTCTAACGTAACCAAAGCCATCCTAACCTAACCTAACCTAACCTAATTAAACCTAACCTAGCCTAACTAAATTTATCCAAACCAAACATAACATAAAATAACCTAACCTATCGTGACCTAACCAAACCTAACGTCGGCAAGTAACCATAACCAAATCTAACCAAACGTAAAACTAACCAAACCTAAACCACCGTAATTAAAACCATGACACAATTACCAGATAAGAGAGAGGTACATTTTTCCATGCATTATTTTACGTGACCTCTCGACTGATGTCCAGCAGAAATAATTGGAATTCCAGTAATGGCCAACATGGAATATTTTCTGTTAGTTTAAATGTGGTAATAAGGGAAGCTTGAGAGTTAACCTTCCCTGAGTACGTTGGTAACTTTCTGAGTATAATGACGACCACCTGAGTATAATGACGACCACCTGAGTATGATGACGACCACCTGAGTATAATGACGACCACCTGAGTATGATGACGACCACCTGAGTATAATGACGACCACCTGAGTATAATGACGACCACCTGAGTATAATGACGACCACCTGAGTATGATGACGACCACCTGAGTATAATGACGACCACCTGAGTATGATAACGACCACCTGAGTATGATGACGACCACCTAAGTACGATGTTAACTTTCTCAGTATATTGCTAACCTCCTGAGTACATTACCAACCACTTTAATATAATGCCAACTGTTTGAGTACGATGACATGAACCTGTAAGTTCGATGTTAACTTCTTGATTACTTTGTCAATCTTCTTTTAGTAAGTTGCCATGCCCAAGAGTACGATGCTAATCTCCTGAGTACATCCATAACCGCTTTAGTATATACAATGCCAATTTTCTGAGTACATTACCAACCCCTTGAGTACGATGAATTCGCTCACTGAGTAATAAATCTCAAAACCCCACGATGTCTCAATCTTTTTAAAACAATACATAATCCCTCGTGAGTACTAAGACATTATATATACTCAGGGTGATTAAAGTCCTCGTACTCAAGGTGTTAAGTGAGTACATTTCACTCTCATCCACTGAGTATACATATTAAATTTATCCAGGTGAGTAAGGTCTACTTACCTCTCCCCCTGAACCACCGAACCCCGATGACTCAGACTCGTGAACCCGAAGCAGTAAACCGATGCAACATTATATCCATAAATGCTTCAGATTCGTGAGTTTGAATGCTGGGGGTTCGGTGGTTCAGGGAAGGAGACTTTAGTAGTTGACCGTACAGGTGTAAATAAATATACCATACCCCCCTCCCTCTCTCTTACCTCTTGCTGACACACCTACGGGAGGGGAGAGGAAAGGAAGGGAGGGGAGGAGCATAAATAACATATGCTCCCTATGCTCCCCTCGCCATTTTTACCACCCTCTACGTGTTGATCGTGTGTGATATTGGCCGGTAATGTAACTCTGATAGCCTCCTAACTCTTCCCGTGCCTAACCTTCGCTAATGACTTCCGGCACAACCTCACGCCTTCGCTAATGACGGTGCTAATTATCTGACACACACACACACACACACACACATGGGGATAAAGCTGAAATGGAAATAAAAGTCAGAATATTTTGTCCATTTCAATCAATAATTCGTGTTTTTTTAAAGTTAATTTTTGGGGTAAATTTTATGTTTCTCGGAACCTGCCTCACCACACTACACCTGCCCTGCCTCACCACACTACACCTGCCCTGCCTTACCACACTACACCTGCCCTACCTTACCACACTACACCTGCCCTGCCTCACCCTACATCTGCCCCTGCCTCACCCACACTACACCTGCCCTGCCTCACCACACTACACCTGCCCCTGCCTTACCACACTACACCCTACCTCACCACACTACACCTGCCCTGCACCACCACACTACACCTGCCCTGCCTCCCACTCACTACACCTGCCCTGCCTCACCACACTACACCTGCCTGCCTCACCACACTACACCTGCCCTGCCTAACTCCCCTACACCTGCCCTGCCTCCCACCCACACCTACACCTGCCCTACCTCACCATACTACACCTGCCCTGCCTCCACCACACTACACCTGCCCTACCTCCCACTCACACTACACCTGCCCTGCCTCCTCACACCTGCCCTACCTCCCACCACACCCCACACCTGCCCTGCCTCACTCCTACCTGCCCCTACCTCACCCATACTACACCTGCCCCTACCTCCACCACACTACACCTGCCCTGCCCTCATCACACTACACCTGCCCTGCCTCATCACACTACACCTGCCCTACCTCCACCACACTACACCTGCCCTGCCTCACCACACTACACCTGCCCTGCCTCACCACACTACCTGCACCCTGCTTCACCACACCACACCTGCCCCACCACCCCGCCACCACCTGCCCCTACCTCCCACCATACTACACCTGCCCTGCACCACCCCACACACCTGCCCTGCCTCACCACATCACCTGCCTTGCCTCAACAGCCACCTTCGGCTTGCTTATCCATTACCTCAACTCTAAATCTCGTTTCTAGACCAATCCCATTCCAGACTTCAAGGAGCCACTCCCCTAACCACCTACCCCACCTCCCTCCTTTCCTACCTACCCCACCTACTCTTCTCCCCCCCTCCCCATACCTCCCTTCACACACACACACACACACCACATCAGTTCATCCTCAGTAGCTACCAAAAAAAAAAAAGAAGGCGTTTTTTCCTTTTATTTCCTTTACGGGGAAAACAGAGAGGAAAGAGAGTCAGGTTCGACACCACCACCACCAATTATCGTCCTCCTTCCTCCTTAGCTTCTCGCCTCACCGACTCTGCCTTGGAGGGGAAAAAAGGCAGGGTATTTTTTTTTTCCTGATGTTGAAGATGGTTAGGTTAGGTTAGGTTAGGTTAGGTTTGGATCGAGTTTAGAAAATCAGTCCACTACTTTAAGACCTCTCGCGGCCACAGGATGAACCTACCAATGCAAGGTTAGGTTAGGTTAGGTTAGGAGAGATCGTGTTTTATGTATTCCTGAAGGAGCCAAGATCGAGAGAGTGAGTAGAGTGAGGAGGGATAAGAGGAGAGCCGTGATATCCCTGCTGACCGCCCACCGCCACACAACCATTCCCACATCACCCACATTCTTCTTTGCTGTCCACCATCCACATACCCACCCACACACCATCCACATATACATCCACACTCACAGTCTTTTTATGTGTGCCCATTGCCAACAGTCTGACAACACCATCCTGCCAACAGTCTGACAACACTATCCTGCCAACAGTCTGACAACACCATCCTGCCAACAGTCTGACAACACCATCCTGCCAACAGTCTGACAACACTATCCTGCCAACAGTCTGACAACACTATCCTGCCAACAGTCTGACAACACTATCCTGCCAACAGTCTGACAACACTATCCTGCCAACACTGCACGGTAAGACCCTTCAGTCAACATAGCACTCGAGACAACTCATTAGACTCCTGCCAACATCATCAATCACCTTCCAACACCTCAGACTACTGCCAACAACACCAGTCTACTGTCACAGGACATGCCCTTTGTCGCCAGTCCCTCGTGTTGGTTCTGGGGGCGACAGTAGCTGAGGTGGGGTAGCAGACAGTAGTTGAGGTTGGTGAAGTGACAGTAAATGAAGTGAGGGAAGTGACAGAAGCTGAGGTGGGTTAAGCGACAGTAGATGAAGTGACAGGAGACAGACGGGACCATCACGAGTGCTGTCACCCCGGCTGTCACCTGTCTCACCTGTACTCCCTCCCTCATTAACCCCCCACCCTCCCTCCCTCCCTCCCACCCTCTCTCCCACCCTCCCTTCCTCCCCCCCCACCCCACCACCATGGTGATCGTGACAGCTGCTGATGCTTAATGGTGACAGGTGATCTAAATAATGGTGACAGGTGATGCAATAATGATGACAGGTGATCTAAATAATAGTGACAGGTGATCTAAATAATGGTGACAGGTGATCTAAATAATAAAGTGACAGGTTATCTAAATAATAATTGATCTAAATATGTGACAGGTGCTGAATAAAAAAAAAAATCACTGTTGCCATGGTGATGATCATATCTTACAACACGTAAACACTGCATCTTTGCCCCCCCCTCAATACCGCCACTTTAAACAACACAAATGGATTCAGTTTTTTTCCCATAAGATTTTAAATTTTCTTCACCAGATGAGTTGACGCGCATTAAGGTGGGGAAACAAAGCAACAGTCAGAAAAAAAAAAAAGTTGGTTGGGGGGTTGGTTGAGGGTTGGTTGAGGAGTTGGTTGAGGTTGGTTGGGGGATAGTTGGTGAGGTGGAGTAA